TTGGTCGTGCATTTGTCTCATCTCCTGCATGGCCATTTCCATTTCGATTTTGAATGCTTCTTTCTGCTTGGCTAGAGCATTCTCAATGATTTTGGCTATTTGCTCGGTGTTGACCATGAACACTTCCCGAGCTTGTCCTATGCTAGACGTTGTATCATCAGAGGCGATTACGGAATAAGAATCCGAGAGTTTGTCATCGGAATGTATTCTTTCATGGACGCCCTGGTAATCATTATGTCCAACGGTTTCTAGCTGAAGCTGAGATATTTGTTGGGTTATTCCCGAACTGACTCTTCTTCCTGTAGAGAAATTAGGGTTGAAACCACTTGAAACAATCGGAGATTTTCCCTTATTGACCATGTTGATGGTAACTTCTGGGAATTCATCATCTCGATCAACCGATCCTCTTTGGTGGAAACGCCTTGATTTGGGCTTCGTCGTTCCATCGGAGATCCTCTCGAATACCGAGACCCTCTGTGAAGCGGTCTTGGGGCAGCTACACGCTGATAATACTGCCCTAATAATTTTGATACACGGACAGTGAGAGTCTGCTTTTCGGGTACTTCTCTTTCGAGATTTATTCGTACCCCCCAGCCCGATAGTACAACTCATCGACGTTACGGTCGGAATAACTTATCGGCTGTTTACATAAATTCTCAGGTATAACGCGTTCGTCTGTCTGACGCGTTTTCCTCTGAGTAAACATTGTCTTGTTGGCATCTACAGGAGTCACACGTTTGGAATCTCACCCTTGTGAAGGTGAAACCTTAACGGGCTCCTGGTTTTCTGCACGCACCGCCAAGCGGGCCGTTGTTTGAATCAATTTGTTAGGAGGTTGCGTACGACCCCCAGTCCGGATGTTTGCTCGGGGTTCCTTCAATGGTCCCAAGCGTTCTTTAATAAGTGCTTTGCCTTGATCCTCGTGCAAAAGACCCAGGCGTTCCGCTATCACTTTCCTGCCTCTGGATATGTCCATATTGTTACGGAGCTTCACCGGAGGTATGGGATTAAAAGGAACGAGATCTGAACTCGACGAAAGCTGGGAACCAGCTTTGGATCTGGACTCAACCGAGAGACACAACTGATGTCTTTTATCGGGTAGGGACGCTGACTTAGCCTTCGGCACCCAAACTTGTTTGGATCTCGGCGATCTCTTAACTGCCTCTTTCTTTTGCATTTCCTGTGCTTTTCGCACAAGGGTCCGGGCATGCGCAAGCAAGGCGCAGCGCTTCTGGATTCGCTCCTCGAGAGTTGAGCGGGTTCTTTTAACACGAACCCATTCGTTAGTTGGAGATTGAGAGGAGGATTCCGATGCTGGTCGTAGCAACAGATTAGCCACTTGGCGCTTTCTGAACTCCAGATCTGCTTGGTAATGGAGTCCATCCACCTGATCCAAAGCCTTGGCGAATTGGCGCGCGAGGCGTTGGTGTTTCCTTTGACGTGCTCTCTTTGATAGAGTTGGCGCACCTTCAGCAGTCGACTCCTTAATCGTGAAGGAGTTCAGATCTGCAGATCTGGTCTCATTGGATGCCGGCAGACCGTTGCAAGGTACGACTGTAGCATCGGCTACGGGGAGATCGATTTCTTGGGTCTTCAGATCTGGAGACCGACGGATCTTCTGGGAGGAGGAGGCCTTCCTGCACCTGCAAGGAGAGGCAGATCTGGAGGAGGAGGAGGAGACATACTCCTCGAACTTCTGTTGATCGAATTCATATTCGATCTCTTCATTCACCCGGATCTTGAATACCGGTTGCGTCACGACAGCCTCGGCAGCGAGGCTGTTGGCTCCCACCGTGGTCGCCAGTTTGTTTGCGGTGAAAGTTGCTTGTTTCATTGCGAGATTCATTACAAACTTCAGACGTTTACAACGAATACAAAAATTAGTCTTTTTATAAGACTTTTACACAATGAAAGCAAAAAAAGTTTATAACTTTATCAAACAAACGCAGAGATCATTTATCGGTCTTCTGCTTGCGTGAGATCTTTGTCTGTGCCGGGGTTTATCCGTGGACCACCGTCGATCAGATCTGATTGCTGAAAAAATTGAGCAGAGCTTCGTCTATCCGCGAAGGGATTGAGAAACTGTAGCTCTCGGCGAAGCGAGATAATCACTCTTCTTAAGATTACCGCAACGGGATAATCCTAAGGAACGGATCCGGGAAACTGTAGATCTGACGAATCTCTGTCTCTTGCGTTGAAGAACTCGATCCGATCTCTCCTCCTCCTCTCTGAAATCTGTGCACTTTAAGTCTTCAATCCGGCCTTCAGTCTTCAATCCGGCAGGGCTTCGGCTAATCTTCCAAAAATTCCAGATCTCTAAAAAGTGAGGGTCTGAGGCTTGTATTTATAGGCAGGGGACAAAAACTGCTTAGAGACACCTCAGGGTGTCTCAAACTTGGCCGAGACACCCTAGGGTGTCTCAAACTGCTCCGAGACACCCTAGGGTGTCTCAAACTGCTCCGAGACACCCTAGGGTGTCTCAACTTGGGCCGAGACACCCTAGGGTGTCTCGGCCTTGGCCGAGACACCACGTGGTGTCTTACCTAAGGTTGAGACGTATTTTCACCTCCTCGTCCGTTCCCGCCGTAATTTCTTTGTCCGAACTCGGATTTGAGTGATTCAAAGTGCGTTGGAAAGCTAACGAAGAGTTCTATAAGCTCCAATGATTAGATCGTCTGTGGAATAAATGAGACACAAAGGGAATTCCGTCTTTTGTAAGTGACATGAGGTTCCCGATCAGTTCGTATCCTTATTATTCTGAAACTCCGTTGCTTCACATAGTTCGCCGATTCACTTCCAGCGTTCGTCGACGTCAATCAAGCTTCTGTGACTTGGATAGTGACGTTCATCGTCTTCTTTTAGCTTTGAGCTGTTCGTGGAGACCTATAGGCAATTTTTGATGCCTACATCCATGAGGATAAGTTTTTTGTGTCTGCTTGGCTAAACAGGAGCCAAGACGTCATCTAATGTACGGGGCAACACAAAGATAAGTTTTGGCACAAAACTAACGACTACTTTATCCAATACTTCACCGATCCAACAAGCCGCACACCAAAGATGTCAATAATCAATCGAACGAACCTCTTCGGGCTCTCAATCGACGTACTTTCCCCGATCCGAACATAGTCGTCAACGGAGTCAGCGGATGCTCCATATGCGAGCATTCACATAGCTGTAGTAATCTTTTGAAGGCTAGTCCTAACTGTCCAGCATCATTCCTCTTTTGGACGAAGTAATCGTCATGTTCGACGACTGCGTTGTGGATTTGAAGGAATAACGAACACGACATTCTGAATCTTCGACGAAAATAATGAAGATGATAGGTTGGTGTGTCTGCAAAATAATATTGGAACAACCGATTGTGGCCTTCTAATTGGTTTCGATGGAGCACGATACGTCTTTTTTGTTGACGTGAAGTTTAACTTTCTCTTGTTCTTCTTCCTCGACAACAACATCTCCCATAAGAAGGAACATCTTCATCATTTCATCATCGCTTGAGCTAGATGAGCTAGACATTTTGTTGTGGGAGATGATGGGTTTCATCATTTCATCATCGCTTGAGCTAGATGAGCTAGACATTTTGTTGTGGGAGATGATGGGTTGAGGTGAGAAGGCGTCGAATTTTAAGATGAGCTAGACATTTTGTTGTGGGAGATGATGGGTTGAGGTGAGAAGGCGTCGAATTTTATAGGAATCGGTCGGTTGACGGTCAAAGTGCCCGATACCTCGAACTTCATGCCCAACGGATAGGAATCTGTCAGCTGTTAGTGAAAGTGCATGCTCTCTCGAAGACCATGTCCAACGGATATGAATCTGTCTGTTGTCGGTGGAATTAAATAAAAGAGGTTTTAATATAATTGAAAGTAATGTGTAACAAAACTAAAATAGAAGAGGTATTTTTTTATATTGTTGGAACTCCTAACTAGGAGTTTGTTGGAGATCAACATTAGTTAGGAGGTCTCTCATGTGATGTGGCATTGAAAATGGTGGGCCATGTCTTGAGAGGTCTTGAGAGCTCTCCAACAAGGACTCCTAACTAGGAACTTGTTGGAGATGCTCTAAATATAATAAATATAAGTAAGGAGAAATTTTTTTAAAAGATCATTTTTGAAATTTTATTAGCAAAATTAACCTATTTTTAGTATAATTAACAAAATCAACCTCTTTTTGGCCAACCAGTCCCGTGTATTTAGTGGTGCATAATTACACTCTAATGAAGTTTAATTAATCTTGTATATTTTTAAAACTTAATTAGCATATGATTAGCCAACACTAATTACAAGGGACTACTAGTCCCTTATATTTTAAAAACTATATTTTGCAAAATCAATAAAAGAGGTTAATTTTGCTAATTAAATCCACAAAAAAGTTGATTTTGCTAATAAAGTTCCAGAAACTGTCTTTTTTTTTTAATTCCATATAAGTAATTGTCCGAAAAGATATGTGTAAGTTGCACAAAAGCCCCCCACTACCAAAAGCTTTGCCACCCTATTTTTCTACTGTTTATGAATGGTGCCATACTTTTTTCCTGAATTTCTTTAAATAAGGTTCTGATGATCATCAAAGAGAAACATATGTCATTTATTATTATTTTGCGAAAAACGTGACACACTCCCACTACTTGAAATTTTGAGATAACCTCTCAGGTGACTTCACATAGCATTAGTTAACTTATGTTTACTAAACTTCAACAATATTTATAGCTGTGTACATCATCACTAGATAACATGATTAGTAGGTATCTAATAATTACCAACGTATTCCAATTATCTACTTTTTCTACTTATAAACTACTCATGATTCATTGTGAAAGTAATGTTAAGGATATCACGTGCAGTTATTTAGATGGTACCGAAAAAAAACTAAAAATGCCATTTCATAAATCAAGTAAATGTTATAAACGGATAAATATACAGATAAGTGCAAAATTGTATAATGGAATCTAAAGAAAAGAGGCACATAGAGAACTTGTGGAGGATATAGAATGTTAAGAGAGGCAATACGGCAAAAAGTACGATTTAGAATTAAAGATAAATAAATTATCAAACAAGTTTACATCCAATAGGGAACCCCCTTATCTCAAAAGACATGTTTTTAAGGTGTATCAGACACTCCATTACTTTATTAGACCCATCATCATAGATATCTAAAGAGCTCATCATATTCACAATTGTTTCAGATCATAGAGAAAACAGCAACTAGATCAATCCAGCCCCACAATTTCAGGTGTCTCAACCGCTGGAGCGGTCTCCTCAACTGCTGGAATGGTATCCTCAACTGCTCTGAAGATATGCACTCTCATTTCATTTGGACCTATGAGCTCAAAAGCACAATAATCACCGACATCGAGATTATTACCCTGAGCAAATTCACCCCACCCAATAGAGAGACGATCTCTATCTTTCTCGGCTGCAACGTAGGCCACTGTCCATGACCTTCCATTTGGATCCCTCAGCGTCATGCTTGTCTTTTTACGAGGGAGGTGTTTCTTTGAGAAGCTAAGTGGGAACCTCTGCATTAAGTTTGTGTATAATCAATAAACAAACATGGCAGCAAACAAAAATTAAACGGAGTGATACTTGAAAGAGAATCTTAATAACAAAGATTTTTCAAAATCAAAACCTTGGATACCTTTGATTTCAATAATTAGACCTGGCAGATGTGAAAATGGGAACAAATGACCAGATACGACTTCTAGCTTAGGAGGAGGTTTAATAGAAGAGTAAAATGCACATAGACCCCATGTAGTATCATAGTTGTGAACTTACTACTGTTGTAGTTTCATTATTGCAGATAGACCCCTTGGGTTAAATTTATTTTAAATCTTTTACCCTGGATGACAATTTGACATATATTGTCCCTGGGTGAAATTAGCACGTCTATCTGAAAGTAAAAGAGTCGAAAAATAATAATAATCAAGAATTAACTGCAGATAAACCCCCAGTACTATCACCAAAAAAATTTAGGGTGGTCTATCTGCAACAACAGAATGACGGGCTAGAAAGTATTCTACAGGGAGCCTATGTGCAGTCAATATTGGTTAACTGAACAGAGAGATTTTTCTGAACAAAAGCCCCCACATTACGATTCCAAAGTCAGCAGAAAGGAATTTGAAGGAATTCTAAGGAGGGTGGATGAAATGGATGGAATTGTTCATGAAGAAAAGTCAACTAATGTTACTAATCTATGACTAAAAGTACCAATGAGAGCTGAAAATAACATATTTCTAAAAGGACAAGTTAAATTAGCTGAGCAATGTGTGAAGTGTATTTATAAGCATAAATACTTCAATTGAATTAGTCAGATGTTCTAAAGATATGATTATCCATAGAGTAGAATATTATTATGCCTGACTCACCATTCGCTCGTAAATGCTGCTAAGTGCCATGGGTCTAATTACAAAGGGAAGATCTGAGCTGAAGGACCTAGCAGCTTCTTCAGCTCGCAATTGTTCTGTTGTCGTCACTAGGCGTCTTCTTGAAAAATACCCTCTTTCATTAGGGTTTTCTGAAGCAATCGAACTAGACGATAGTTCTTCTGTTTCAAGTTTTACTTTCCCTTCTTCATTAGGACTAAGAGTTGCAACACGACTTCCTAATAGTACAACAAAAATAATAAAAAGTGAGTAATGGTCTGACATGTAAAACGACATGATATGCCACAGAACTTCATGTGCATTAATTATTTTATATACAAGGTGCATCTCCCCCACTTGAAACTTCGTAGCCAATCTTCCTTTTAACCACCGCACCATAGAAAAATAGAAATATAGTGACTGCTACATGGGACTTGTTTCTGCCCAATGAACATAAACAAAAAAAATTTAAGAAAAAGAAAAAGAAACGTAAGGATCTTTTGACTAGCTCATCTCAAGCAAAATTCAAGTGATCTTTTGTTGCTTCCACTAGTATTTTGGTTTTATTAAAAGGATTGACCTTCTACAAAAATGTTTAAAGTAGGAATGGATGAAGTTTAACTTTGCTCAAGCTCCAATTTTTAACATTGATCAAATTTGTACGC